AAGGGCAGAACGTAGGAGACAAAGCAAGGGTCTTCTCTCAAGTCTAGAGGCTCATGTATTAAAGGAAAGAGTGAGCAAGTCTGAAATTGTAAGAGAGATAGAGAGAGTTGGAAGAAAAGTAGCTGGAAACTAGTGAGTCAAGAAGAGGAGAGAATTCTCAAGTGTATCAAGGTGTTGAGCAGGGTGAGAGAGAAACAGATTGTGTGGGTAGTGTTCTAAGGGGGTTTCCTTTTGTAAACCAAAGTTGTAACCTATCTTCACTAGTGAAATTTCTCAAGGGGATCACCAAAGAGGATGTAGGCAAATTGCTGAACCTCTATAAACACTTGTGTCTTTTGTGCTTGATTATTTTCTGTGTGTGTGTGTAAGATTCATCCATCTTGGAGTCTTGTCAAAAGTCCATCAACAACGGTGGAAATGGACTCTGCAGTGGCTGTTAAGTTAGTGAAGAATTCTACTACTCTTGGTTTACATCCTGTGGCTTCTCTGGCTTCTTGTTGCTGGGAGCTTATGGGAAAGTTTGAGACTTGTGCGCTCCAACACATTTATAGAGAAAGAAATGTGGTTGCTGACTGTATTGCCCAATGGAGCTACAATATGGACTTAGGTGTTTGCCTTTTTGATATGGCCCATAGTTGGGTTGGTGCTAGCCTTGTTGATGATCTGACTGGAGTCACTAGGACTCGGCTAGTCTGTAGTGAGTAGTTGCTGTTTGTCTTTGGGGTTCTACCCCCCCAGTTCACCAAAAAAAAAAAAAAGTCCATCAACAACAAGGTCTAAAGGGGAGTGAGTTGGTTCTAATTCACAACATATTTTAGGTAATCATATGATTATACAAAGATGAAAACAAAAAAAGAGAAGCAATAAAATGGTTAAAGAAATCTAGAACACCTGTGATTCATAATGAAAATGCTTAGGAGCTAATCAAAGAACACTAGCTCTCAATTGAAAAGATAACTGCTTGTGCTGTAAGGACCCTTTGCATTAAAGGGTTAAATACAAATTTGGAACTTGATCACTTATACGATCTAATAACCAGACACTGCATGCTTTGAGCAGGGTGGCGTGTGAAGAGTATACTGAAGAAGTGGAAAAGCTAGCTCTAAAGTTGATGGGACTTACAGCCTTGAGCCTAGGCTTGCCAGCAGACAGGTTCAACAGCTACTTCAAAGATCAGACAAGTTTTATCAGACTCAACTACTATCCACCTTGCCCTTCCCCTCAGTTAGCTCTCGGCGTTGGGCGCCACAAGGATAGCGGTGCTTTAACCGTGCTTGCTCAGGATGAGGTCGGAGGATTGGAAGTGAAGAGGAAGAGAGATGGAGAGTGGATTCAGGTTAAACCTACCCCAAATGCCTATATCATCAATGTTGGTGACATTATTCAGGTTCCACTCTCCAAACTTCATACTAAGTACTTTTGTGTGCAGATTATTTTTCAAAAACTTGTTAGAACCAAGGTACCAATTACTGCTGTAGGGTAGCAATTTAATGTCAAATTTTCCAGGTTAACGGGCCGAGGGCCCACTCCAACAACACCGATACTGTCCCCACTTTACCACCTGCACAATCCTCAGGTGTGGGTTTTTATCACAAAAGGCCTCGGTATTAGTTGGAGTGGGGTAATTCTATTTAAAGTACTCTTTCTCCTTCCCTCTCTCCGATGTGGGACACAATTGGTTTCAACATTTAACACTCGCATTTTGCGCAATTGCGTTTAGCTCCTCTACTTATTTTTATACTTTCATTCTCCATTTTATGCAGGTTTGGAGCAATGACAGATATTAGAGTGTGGAACAAAGGGTGTTGGTGAATTCAGAGAAGGGAAGGTTTTCCATTCCCTACTTTGTCGACCCAGCACACTATACCCTAGTCAAGCCCTTGGAGGAGCTGACGCATGAACAAGAAGACCCTGCAAAATATAAGCCTTACAGCTGGGGCAAGTTTTTGAGTCACAGAAAGCTCAGTAATTTCAAGAAACACAATGCTGAAAACATCCAGCTTTATCATTTCAGGGTTTCGGAATAAGTTATGAACCCCAAAAAGAGAAAGACGTGTGCTATGCTTTACAATAATTAGTCTATGTACACAAAAATAATTGTGGGCTAACATGGATTTCTTACAAATTTTTACATAGTCGAAGGCAAATTTGAACGATGCTACATGTATCATATTTACTTACCGCATTGTATACCAGATTTCTAATAAAGTGTGGATCCACTCACAAACTCTATTAAATATGTGGCTTACAAGTTACAACATAGTACTGGACAAACTTCGCAGGTGATTTGATAACATCACAAAGATTCCAAATGCTGGGAAACATACAAAAGGCTTTGTGCATATGGTCACACTGGTTGGCTAGTGATGACTCAGACCCAGCATTAGCAGTTATAGTATGTAGTGACCCTCCCACCAAGCCTAAAGCATCAACAAAAGCCAAAACCAAAAAGCTTCTTTCTTGGCTTTGAGATTTTTTATTTTACAGGACAAAAGGTGGAAGCTTTGACAAGTGCTCTCTACCTTGGTTTTTGAGATCGCCATATCTGAGATCACCAAATTGCTGCTCTGGTAAACCTCAAGTTTACAAACCATAAGAGGAAAAGAATAGTATCCTTGTTGGTCACAGTCTTGGCAACCATATTCTCATATTCGGCCCGTTGTTCTTGGCAACAAAGGTGTACCAACTCAGCCCAATTGAGGTAAGTGAAATCTAACCGTTGGATCATCATCAACCAACAAAATCCTACCGTCCATATAAAACGGATCTTAATTTGGTGCAGGATGTAGCACTGGGCTCCATGTTAATGAGACCACAACGTTTGTTTAGTGAAGAGGACCAATCCAAAGAACTCAAGCTAACCCATGAGAAATACGGGTTGGTCAATCGGGTTTACGTCTTATCGGGCGGAGATTTGGTGGGGAAGAAGGATCTTCAACGGTGGATGATTAAGAGCAACAGGCCAAACAGTGTGGTGGAAGTCACAGGATCTGATCACATGGTCATGATTTCTAAGGCATTAGAGCTGTGGATGCATATCCAAAGAATTTCTGAAAAATATTCTTAATTGTTAAGTTATTTTGTAAAATTAAAAGCCATGGAAATTGGATTTCCTATTAGGCTAATATCCAACCAGACAGTAAAGCATCATTTGTCTGGAATCAATAATTTAGATACATCCAAGATATTTAATTTCAGAAATTAAATAATTTAGCATCATTTGCCTTGGAGTTTAGTGGATGTGTGACCTTTTTGTAGTGAACTTCAACATTTGTTACAAATTATGCTCTGGACCCTCCTCTTCACAGTGAACTTCACAGTGAACTTTACAAGTTATCCCTCAATAAAAAAAGAAGATATTTTTGGTTTGATAAAGACCCTCCTCTTAAAGAATTCCAATTAGAGTTTTAAAATATTCAATGAAAACAAATTAGGGACAACAACTAAAAAAGTAGCTGAAATATCCTAAACCCTAATTAGCTTTTCAGAACAGATGCACAAACGATCTATTTTTGTTGTGCTTTATAAAGTTTGCCACATATTACAAACTCTTGTCTTATGAACAAAGGTAAGCATCATTGCCATTAAAAAACAACAAAAACACTTGAGTTTGTTTTTTGCCTCAAAGAGCACAAATATAGAACAATGCCTTATGAGCTGTTTTCCATTAGTGAAAATGCAATCCCATAGACATGAACTTAGTCAGGCTAATTAGTGCGGATGTGCTCCCTAGTTCGAATTCCCTTATCTCGTAGTTTAGATTAGATTAAAGTAGAATACCGTTTGTAGTAAAATAAAAATAAAGGCAATCCCATGAGCAGTATGAGTAAAATTAACCAGCCATATTGCCATACTAAAATTCCCAGAAGCATTAAAAAAAATATTAAGCAATGGAGATTGAAAATTGACAATGGGCTCAAACATTACCATATGAGTTGTAAATCATATGGCCAAAAAAATTCCATGACTAAATTCACAAGCATATATATATGGGTAGACTTTTCTCACAAATGAATAAAGCTACAAATCTCTACTGGAAAAAGGAAATCAAGCTCTTAAAAAAGTGCAATTAATTAATTTGTACCAACCTGAAGCTTTACATGAGACATGAAAATGATGAATATAACTTAAGGAAGAAAACCAACAAAATGAACCGGAGCACTGCTATAAGCCGAAGAGCTGGTGAACGGAGACATGTTGTGCTGAAGGGCTATCTCCACTGCCTGAGCTACAACGAGGACAAACTCCAGGGCCAGTTTCAGCAGCTCTATACACATTTCCAGCCTCTGGATCACCATGGCTGGCTGTCGCTTGAGCTTGAAGATTATTTTTGTGTCTTTTTCTTCTTCCTCCTATATATTCTCCCCTTATCCCTCTTCCTTATCCCCCTTCCTTATCCATATTCATTGACAAGTCCCTTGCATTTATATACTACAAAATTAACATGAATAGCAAAACGCGTAGATCAGTTAATGGATAATATCTGGCTTATAGAAGATTCTGATTTGGGATATCTCCGAAATATTAAAAAGAAAAGTACCACTAAACTTAATATTTAATTCCGATATGTAATTTTCGAGGAATTATACGTTTTCGGAGTTTATTTACAGCATTAGAAGCTAACCAGATTCTCAGAAAATTTTGTTAGGAGTGAAAAGAGAAAAATATATGGTAGTTTGAAGTTGGTACTTACCTTAATACCTTAATATGGCTTTTGGTGAATGCCAAGAGACACCAGCATCTCTCTCTCTCTCTCTCTCTCTATGTGACTGAATATAATCCCAGTGAACCCACAAGAAGTGTTCTTATTAAGCCAAGCCGAAATGTCATTCTTATCCGTTAAGATTCAGTAAATGTCAAATATGATAATGATGTGGGTCCACTTCTACAAGAGGATGAAGATGAAAGCATCTAAAATAGGCAAGTAAGGTTAGGTGTGGTAGCACAACGTAATTAACAAAACGTCGGTTAACATAAAGCACTACACTAGTGCTATTACAGAGCAATAGCCCCCATTTATAACATCAAGAGCAAGTGATAGCCGTTGATGTATGTGCCAACTCATCTTCATCAGTGGTTTGGAGTCATCTACATGTCGAGAGTAGTAGCTTAATGCTTTTAAGAGTTACTGTTGATAGCATTATCCTTAACATATTGAGGGAATTCTTTAAAATTTGAAGGACCCACAATCACTACGCAATGTGCATTAATAATTTGAACGGTCTATATTTTTCAAGTTATTATTTAAAAATTATTTTTATAAAAAATTTAAACAAATGATTTTTGTAGAAATGTCATCTAAACTTATACATCAGTTTCAGTTTATCACCTTTAAAAAAAATTAAAGCAAAATATCACCTTAACGTTTTCAAAATCCATGATTTGTCACCTGACTTTAACGTCATCCAATTTTCCATCCATTTTAAAAGGGTATTTTAGTCTTTCTAATATGTAAATCCTCTATTTTTTTTTCTTTTTTTTTAAAAAAAAAAAAATTTAAATATAAAGCTATGTAAACCCTCTTTGAAGCTCATTATTTGGTGAAAAAGAAGGAGTTAAAACCCCAAAAAGCAAGACTTTTACTACTGAACAACACTCAAACTTTATGGTTTCAATTTTTTTGGGGAAATAATCATCGGTACTAATTCAAATTTGAGAAAGAAATTGACAAAAGACATTATCTGGAAATTGATATACAAAACAAAAGTAGCCAAAATGAGTTCACAAAATAGGTTCAAAACGTGACCAAGTCTACAACTTGTACCGAGGCCACAAAGCTACAGCACCTCAAAACATAATCCCAATTTTTATCTGTTTGTAAAATAAGCTTTGCATGGTACCAAGACCAATTAAACCTAAGTGCTTTATGGTTTCCATACGTTATTCTTCTTGGCATAAGACTTGGTGTTGGTTTTTATTGTGCTTGCTCTTGTAGAAGAAGAACTTGGGTTTGAGACTTGTGCATTGGATTCAGACATATTTCTTGCAGATTGTATTCCTCTTGGTACAGAGTGTGCTTGATTTGCTGAGGTTTCACTTGTCCTATTTCCTCCATTTGTGTGTGACTGTTGTTGGCTTGGATTTGCTGAAGTTTGCCCTCTTGGATCACCTTCTCCATTCACCTGTACCAAATCAAATTTCATTGCCAACTTCTCAACATTTAATGAAATAAAAATAAAACATAAAATCTCATTATCTGTATACTTGAGCTCTTTTTGCTTGCTTCCTCCTTTCACAAGTAGTAGCATTATGGCCTTCTTGGCCACACTTGCTGCAGTTGATCTTGATTAAGCATCTTCGAAGTTTGTTTGGATTTGAAGGAGGTCGAACCTCATCTGGCTCCCTACATCTGAGCACCCTTGGTCTCCCGGCTTGCTTGTGATATTTGGGGGGTCTAATAGGCTGATGGTTTGTCACTGGCCAATATTCTTCACCAGCCATTGGGTTGATATAAGGCTTGTAGGCTCTTAAGAATACTGGTTTCTTGTAACAAGAGTGAACATAGTTGTATGGATCCAAGGGCGGATTTATGCCTAGGTTGGAGTGGGAAGATTTCTAAATATTAAATATGGTTAAGTTTATTCCTACTCCAATAAATATTAGTCCACTGCACCAAATAAATATAATAAACTAATAATAAACTAATAATAGCCCAATTTAAGTAAAGTAAATAATAGCTCTATTTAAAATAAGCCCACTCCTGAAGCATATAGGAAATAATAAACATCAATCCAAACCTATATAAATTTGATTAGAAGCAGAACTCACGCTAAGGCTCTACCAACTTGAGCTATTCTAATTGTACTTATATTGGGCTACACCCATAGAGAGCAAACATTTTAAAAAATTCTTCTAGCCACCCAAAACGCCATATTTGAACCTTGAGAGCCTAGAGGAAATAGCTCTCCTCCTCTAAAAAATTGTACCAACCTATCTTCAGTGGGTTCTTCAATCTTGGTAAGTTTTTCTCCTTTTTTATATATTCAATTTCCAATTTTAATTGTTGTTGTTAAGTTTTTATGATTTAGGGTTTGGGTGAAATCTTTTGGAGATTGTTGACATATGTTTTATTTTTGCAACTTGAAGTATTAATTAGCATATATGATTTTTGGTGTCTAGTATTTCTTGCAATTGAACATATTTTTTTGAAGTTGGACAATATGTTTGATTTGATATTTATTTATATTTTGTACTTTTTTGTGTTATATTTGCTTGTAATTTGACTTTGTTTGATTTATAAAATTTTATTTACATTTTTGTTTCATGAGAAAAAAAGCCTTATAATATATCTCCTCTATAAAAAAAAATTATTTAGCCTACCCCTATAAAAATTCCTGGGTCACCATTGTATGGATCCTCCTCTCTTCTATATATTGCAGAAATGCCATGAGAACAAGGAATTCCAGTGAGATCCCACCTCCAACATGAACAAGTGTGGGCTGTCAAATCCACCACAAACTGTGCCCCACTAATATGCCTCACTTGATACTTATTCGGGTCATGCTAAGGAGACCAACTTGGGATACCAACTTGTGTACCAACTCTCTAATAGAGGTGGAGCCCACCAATACAATGGGTCCCACGCTCTATTAGAGAGTTGGTACACAAGTTGGTATCCCAAGTTGGTCTCCCTAGCATTTTCCTACTTATTCTCACCAGCAAGACAAGGAATGCAAGAACCACTTTCTAATTTGTTTTTCTCAACAATTTTAAACACTCTAGGGCTAACATCACAAGTCCACTTATCTGCAGTCTCTCTCATTCTTGCCATTCTCACCATCAGATATGTCCTAATCCTCTCCATCATAGTCAATATTGGTTTATCTCTTGCACCTAATATTACACTGTTAAAAGACTCACATAAATTATTCAACAAGATATCACATTTTGATGTAGTCCTAAAATGGGATCTACTCCAATGCTTTGCAGGCTTGTCATCAAACCATCCTACTGCGCTTCCATCTTCAATTTCCATCCTAGTCATATGTGCTTTAAACCCAGGAATGGTGGTTGCCCTTGCTGCTTCCCAAAGTATTTGCTTAAGTGCCATTCCATTGTGACCTTTCTTGAAATTATTATACAAGTGTCAAACACAATGCCTATGTTCAACACTAGGAACAAGGTCTTCAACAGATCTCAATAGACCTTTCTGCTTGTCTGACATAAAGACCCAAGAAAACCCATTATCAATCCTCAAATCATTGATGAGTATCACTAGGAACCAAGTCCACGTGCACCTATTTTTTATTTCAACAATGGCATATGCTATTGGATACATGCCATTATTGGCATCTATCCCAATAGCACAAAGTAATTGCCTAGGATGTGGACCTTTTGGTTCTTCTTGATTAGGGCTTGACTCCACACAAGTATTGATTGCAACTTGACTCTCAATATTTGGGACAGAGTTGTCATCAACTATGTACACAATTGCCACTCTATTTGGGGGCAATATAGTAACTAAAGCCCAAAAATCAGAGTCATTCTTCAATTTCCTACATTCCCCTCCATTTGGCAATCTATAATAACATGTTGACGTCTTGCTATACCCTAAACTCTCAGCACAACCCTCAAGATCCCATTTTGACATCAAATCTTGATTTAAATTATCATACCAAGCCACATGCCTAGCAACATAATTCAAGTTCCCATCACATTGCTCTATAAAGTGACCCCATGGTGATTTTCCATGGTAAATAAATCACAATCACCTACACAAATACTCAAATTAACATTTATATAAAATATAACAATTGCAACCGACACATCCCCACACAACAAAGTAATTGACTTGCAAAAGGACAATACACGTTCACCCAAGGCACAAAAACAAAGCAACAGCATATAAATAAAGCCAAAGAACATAAAGAAAGAAAAAAGGATCCCATGAATCAAATCTCCCATTGTCATATAAAAAGCAAAAACTTCGGAGATTCCCAAGTAGAAAGCAAAGCTTTACCGTAGTTTGGAGGGTTCCTAGTGACTCTGTAGCGTAGAGTTGCCATCAATCCCAATGTCGCTGACAACTAGCAGATATGCCTTAAAAAAGATTGAAACCCTAAAGTCTAACTGTTGTTTAGGCGTAAAAATATTGTTCTTGACTTATGTCTTTTTTTTTTTTTGGTTGAAAAAAGAGCTTCACAGAGGTTTACATATTGGAAAGACTAAAATACCCTTTAAAATGGATGGAAAATTGGATGACGTTAAAGTCAAGTGACAAATCATGGATTTTGAAAACTTTATGTGACATTTCGACTAAATTTTTCTTTAAGGTGACAAATTGAAACTAATGTATAAGTTCAGATGACATTTCTACAAAAATCCCATTAAACAAATTGAAAATTACTCACGAAATAGACGAACACGGTGTTTCAAAAAAATACCAAAATGACAACTATTTAATTGAGTGATTAAATAGTTATGAATTCGAGTGTTTCTAGAGATGATCTTTGAGGTAATATATAAAAAGTAGATGGTTCAAATTATTACGGCACAATGCCGAGTGGGCTTATAACAAAGTCCCTCAAATTTTATTATTTAAGGGAAACACTCGATTGAAACTCTCTATATATATGTACAAATTGAGTAATATGGGCCTCCTAAAACAAAATCTTCAACGAAAATACTAAAAAAAAAGAGAGCATATATATTGGAATGTTAAACAAATTATTCAACAAGGAGCATAAAATCAAAACCCCATGATTCATCAATTTATTAATTAAAATAAAGCAAAAACAAAAATACAATAAACCTATGATCTGCTAGGTTAAGAATCAAGAGCTCCTACCATATGTAATTTTAATTTATTAATATTTATGTGGAATCAACT